GCTGGAAATTAGAGAGACCTGAATGTCTGACATTAACAGTGAGCAAAACATTGTGCTGATGCAGACCCTGCTCTGAACACCGCATACTGAAGTACCTAGGGACGACACCGCAGCCTTTGAAGGCTCTCCTTCAGTTAATAATAATGACAGGGTACTTCAGATGCTGTATACCAAAGGGAAATGCATTCATGTTTTCTAAAGAAGACTGGGATGATTTATCTAGGGAAGGTAAAAACCACTAGCTATCTTGGGCTGGAAAGTATGCCAGAATTTCATTCTGCTCATGTTACTTTAGAGCAAGAAGATAGTCTACAAAGAGAGAAAATTAAAACCATGAATACAGAGGAAATCTAAGCCAGCAGCTACATGTACACTGGTGAACTTGACACAGGTGTATGAGTGCCAGGATGTTGCAGGGTTTGGTAGGTGTGTGCAGTGAGTGGACTTCAACTTTGAGGTGGCCAGAATGGGTCAGAAGTAGTTATGGGGAGAAGCACAACATATTGATTACTTAACTTTCCCGAAGATGCTGGGTTACCTGCCCGTGTCTGTTATCTGGCTGTGTCCTGAGCTATACAGACTGCTTTGGGATTTTGGCCACTCATCCTGGCTGCTAACATATACTATAACATCCCTAAAGGACTGCTGTCTGCCTCGTTACCAACTCCAGCCCAGGGAGCTTTTGCCCTGTCTCTTCCACAGCACGCTTGTAAGCATTTCCTGCACACAGGATGTTTCTGAGGAACTGGTGATACTGCAGCAACTAAAGGGTTAGTTGGACCAGTGCCTTGAGCTGGACCTCTACATGTAGGTTGTATTCATTCAGCGCTCCCTAAGAACAGCAAACTCATCCTACAGTTCCGGGTTTTCTTTTAATGTGGCCATTTTCTAGCCAGTTTATCTTCATGTTCATTGTAGAAACAGTATATTTTGTTGCCTGAATTAGGTTCTTGTCTCAGTAGGCATGAGCCTTTATTTCAGCAGCTCTGGCAAGTGTTTGTCAGCTAAGGTAAATATAGCATTATTCAGAATAGGCATCACAGCAACAGACAGCAGGATACGGCCTTGCTTAGACGAGAGCTCAGAGCTTAAAGAAGTCCGTTCCTCCTGACAGCCCTGTTTTTCAGGGTGGATTTCATCCCTAGTGCATCCCTTGTGCGCGTTGTTATTGTTCAGTACACTTGCAAAACCTTGGATTCCACACAGCTTTCCTGTCCCCAGCTTCAGATACGTGACTTTCATTGAAATCGACAGGCAGTGAACAGGAACTACTCCCAGCTCAGCATGTACACTGCCAAAAGCCTGTGAGCCCAGAGCTTGCTCTTGCTTACCCCACTGTAACTGCCCTGGGCTACATCCTGACCTTTTGGAGATGGGTGTAAGTCTGGAGTTAACACCATCAATTGTGATAGTGTGCATCTGGCATTAGACAGGCATAGCAGAGATCAGAGCCTGCCCATGCTTTCGCCTTTGGTGTTTGACCTTTGCTTAGGTGCATACAGAGCAAGGGTCACTTCCATGTCCATTTCCATTCTCCATTCCACATATTGCTGTGCTGCTATGCTCATGCACTAGCTCCACGGTCTCATATACATGCTGCCAAATCCATGCACTCATTTCTGGATTATCTCAAAGAGAGCACAGCCTGCACTTGTCAGATTTAGTCATTTCAATCTTTCCTGTAAATGGGATTTCCCAGAGCTGGCTATACGGTGTCCTGCCAGAGGAGGACAGCAGAGATGATGGCTGGGTATGCTGAGGGATGGAACAACTTTTCCTGTAGCTGCCAGAAAGAAGGAAATGGCCACACTTCAGCCTGGTTTCGTAATTCAGCATCTTAGCCCAAATCCAGTCTCAGGTAATGGCTGAATGCTGTAAACAGGGACAGCTGACTTATAATGCACATATTTGTACTGGCTCTGCTATGGAGCTGCTGATTTCCACCAGAGTGGTTGAGCAAAACTGATCAAAATGCCATACGTTGTCTGAGATTAGTTATGAAAGTACTTTTGTCAGGATCCTAAATCCCTAGAAGCAGGCTGCAGTGGACCCAACTATGCTGCAGCTCCAGGACAGTGGGGACTGTCATATCCTAACCACTGATGTGGTTTCTTTCCTCTTTAGACACATGCTGCCTCAAGAAAACTTGCTTTGGAAAAAGCTGTTCTTCTTATCTTAGATCTCTAACAGAAATGACCCTCTTGTGCATCTCCTTAATTTTCTTTCTGATTTCTATTCCTGAGTAAGTAAAGAAAGAAAAATTTTGTGTGTTAAGCTGAGCTTTACATATCTGAGAACAGTGCGGGAGCCAAGTTGCTGGGAGTGCTGGAAACCACATATGTGAATGAATGTGCCTGTAGCCAGAGCTGAACTGAGAGTACTTGTGAGCAAGCCATGTAGGGCAGTGTGGGATGGCACTACAACAGGACCAGAGGGAGGGAAGTGCACCTCTGTTTCTGTTCAAAAGGGGTTGAAGAGGATTTGCGTATGTAGCATGCATATAGCTAAGAGTGGAACAGTAATTAGGAGTAAGTGAAGGTGAAGCTGAAAGGGGAATTTCATGTTCTGTGGAAGATCTTTCCTTGTAAGTTATTGTTCAGAAAGGTTATTAGCAGGCAGCAGTACAAACTGTCCTGAGCCACATGCTCTGCCTTTGTCTGACTACAGGATTTTTACAAGCCTTTTTTTCTTTGAGAGCTGACAGCATAATGGTCCTGGACAATGCCAAATCATCATCTGCACGCTTGCTAGGGGAGCTGGGCTTTTATATGAGAGCGAAGAAGATAAAAACAGCACACTCAAAGCAGGACCAAAATGACTGAACAAGAGAAGGAGAAAAGAAGAGAGAGACTTAAATGCTGTTTGCTGGGCTGGCTGATTTTTTGCCTTCTGTTTACTTGCCTTCGATTTCATTCCCTCCCCTTCTCATCATGTTCTGGACGCCTTGTTTCAGCACTGCTTCAGTCATTTTGTGGGCCTGTGTTTGCAGAGCATGAAGGGTCTGGTTGTGCAGTAAATACCAAATAGAAGCTTAAAAAACAGGGAAAAAAAGCACTATGAAAGGGAATTGGTTACAGATGTTTTTCTCTCCTTCCCCAAGCAACATTTCTGCTCCTGACAGACAGCACTACAGACTCCACCTCCAACTGGACTCTACTGAAATACTTCTCCAGAAGTATTGCACGAGTGAGACCTGTTGGGTCAAGGCCATAGCCTGGACAAATTGGAACCAATGCCAAGAGGGTTTCTGCATCCCAGCACAGGCATCACTGCACTGCCCTGACTGAGCTGTGACTTCTTGCTTGGAGGCTAGTTTCAATCCAGAAAGAGGGGCTTGGCTGTGAGCACTGCCTGTGTCGAGGGGTCCATCCATGTTGCAAGGCTCAGACAGAAAGCCAGACTTTTCTAACACTTGTGCGTCTTAAGAAAGATCAGTGTTCAGACGCTTCCTGACAGACTCCCTTGGGAAACCAGGGATTTGTGTCTCCAAAGCCCATCTTCTCCCCTCCATTCCCTTATTTCCATTCCCTGAGGCTCCTTATGCATCCCTCACTGTGCAGTTCCTTTGGTAATGTGGTGAGAGGGTGAGCGACAATCAATCTCCTGCTCTTTTTCCTCCACTTCCCCTGCAAAGATTGCAGGAGCTGCTGCAGTCGTTAACACTCAGACACTGCTGTGAAGCATTTCTGCTGCCAGTTTGTGTTTGGTAGGTGGAGGATTTCCTTCAATCAGCAGGTCCCTAAATTGCCCCAGATATACAGTGTGTGCTGGCAGGGATGGCATCTGGCTTTATCAGCTTTGTTGTTTGGAACAAGCTCCATACAGTAACACTGTCACACAGGAACAAGGCAGCACATTGCAATTCATGTCGGTAAACCCTTTATGCTGTTGTGTGTTACCATTAAAGATATGATTGTGTCTGGCATTACGAAGTACTTTCGAAATGTTTTAGGACATTTTAGCTCACTGCACCAGGCCCATTGTCTGCTCGCCTTCAGCAACAAATCCGGGGTGCCTTACTAATCTGAAGTCCAGCTTTATGGAGGAAATCCTCTGAAATAATGTCATCCTCCTGCATACAAAACCATCAGAGCTTTTTGATGTCTTTTATCTTAGACTATTCCCAGGCTGATATCAAATGGGAAGCTGTAGCTCTTTCCCTTTTCTAATGGGATAAATCTGCTCCCGCCAAGGTGTGAAATATTGCAGCACCACAGTTTAACCTACAGAGAACTGGAAAGTCTGCCATGTGTGCTAACGTTTTGGTGGGGAGGAGAGTGAAGCAAACAAATACTTTAGATATCTGGTTTGCTATTCCTGAGTGGTTTGAGACTGGCTGGGATTTTGTGGAGGAAGTATTATGAATGTAGAGTCTGGGTGTCCTTATGTATAGCTCTGCTCTTTTTGACAGTACCTTTGCCTGTCTATCAGGTTAGCTACCATGCTGCATTCTCAGAAGACCTATGGATCAGCATTAGGAATCTCACCTCTGTAACTGGAGCCCTTCGTGGAGAGTTTTTTGGCTTCTTGTATGCTTGCTTGGGAACAGTACACTTTGCAAAGGACCTCAGTTTTGCTTTATTATTTGATTGCATATAAAGAGCTTATTAAAAAATGAGTAACAATAACCATGTAATTAACATTACATTTGTTATCGTCCAAGCCCTGTGTTGACTGTTAGCGTTTGGCACAGGCACTGACATGCAATTTAAAAAAAAAAATAGGCTGAATGAATTTAGCTTTCAGAGAGTTTTTGAAGGCTTTAACAGTAAAGCAAATTAGGGCTACTACGCTAGCTCTTTCTTGATATTTACACTGAAATCTAGAAAAAAATAGTTAGCTTGGACACATTTTCTAGAAGGAACTCAGGTAGTGGGCTCCAGAACAGCTCCTTTTCCTTCCAGGCTCCAAAACACAGAATCATTTTTCTAGTTCCAAAACACAGTCATTTTTCTAGCATGTTATGAACTGTTCTTTTTTGCCTTCTGGCCTGAGCACAGGAGAGACTGCAGAGAGCGGGCTGTTCTTCAGATGTGAGCTCAGCTGATGGAAACGTCCTCCCTGGCCCTGCCACCAAACCAGCTGGTCTGATCAAGGAAACAGAGTCAACCAAGGGAACTTTACTGCAGCTGAGAGCTGAATAAAAGCCTGAGTCTGCAGGTCCTCAGGATGCTGGTGAGATGCATTGAACAGCAAAGTGCAGTCAGCCTGTGCTCCACCTGGCCGTGGCTCTTGCTATAGAGGAGGACTGTGATAGTTCTCATTATTTTGAGGAGAGTAATTTTTTTCTGTGCTGCTGGTTTGTGGGTCTCTGTGACTTACGGTCCTGCTGCTCCCCTTGTTACTGGGGTATGTGAGGGTAGGACCACCAGTATATGCTTGCATCCTCCAGCAATAGACTTCACAGAACTGCCTAAGAGAGAGAAAACCAAAATAAAAATGGCTTCTGTGTCCAAAATGCAGAGAAACAGCTAGAAAAGTGTCCAATCAAACAACAGTACAGCAGAGATCGCTTTCTGTAGGCTGTAAAAAAGGTGCTCAAGAGACGAAATGACAGGTAGCAGCTTGGCAAGCATTAAACATTTTACTTGGTCCTTCTGCGAGGTACCAGTCCCAGCCAACCTGCAGGCTGTTCCCACAGGGGCCCTCTTTCTCCCACAGGCTGGTTTCTTACTTCAGGCTTGCCCCATCCCTTGGTTCCTTGCTACCAATGACTTTTCTTCAAGGAGTACTCTGACCAAGTCTGAAGATGGGATCTTTCTGTAAAGTACATCAGCTGAAGGCTTGTTAAGGTACACAACCATATGTGAGTGTACATGGTATGGCACAGAGCTAAGAAGGAGCCAGAAGCCCGAGGTCTGCTTGGCAAACAGGTTTTTGTGGTACCAATCATGAGTGCCAGGAGACCCAGGAGAAAAAAAGAACAAACACAAAATCAGATCAGTAAATGGGAATGAAAAAAACACCCTGCTCACTGTCACTAGATCGGAATGAAAGGAAACTCTTGCTATTGAGCCCGGGGATGAAAAGAGAGACCTTCCCACCTAACGCCTCCCACTGAAGCTTGGCTACAGATGCGGGGTTTGTGCTGTGCTTTGTCTGCTGGCAAGCTGGGATGCTGCAGGGCTTGTCGGAGAAAGGGGAGCAGAGATGAAAGTTCTGCTGATAGCAGTGGTCTGTTGTGGCCTCCCAAGCACAATCCGCTGAATCAGAGGGAAGCAGGCCCTGTGCTGCCCACGGTTTGTACAGGAAAGGAGATAAGTCAGAAATGAAAGGAAACGCACCAGTCAGTTGTAGTGGCTCAGAATAAATTGCTGTACTCTTGTCAGCAAATTACCTTTTTCTGCAACCGCAGCCCCCTCCTGTCCCCACACACTGGTGCCTCCCCCCTCCTTCTCCCTCCATTCCTCACGAAGCTGCCTCCATGTTTGCCTGATGCTCTGTTATGTAGCATCACCACACTCCTGAGCATACTGAGAAGCATGCGAACACAATGTGTGACTCAGCTCTTGGAAGGCCAGAGATCTGACCTGCACCCTTGGATGACTGTCAGCCATCCTGTCCCAACAGGGGATGTGCTGGCAGCTCAGCTTTCAGCATGCCTTATTCTGCTCTCATGGCAGAAATGCTGCCAAGGCTTCCAGGAGGACACCGTGAAGCTGTCCTGGGCAAACATGGCTTTGCCAACACCTTTAGTGCCTTCTGTGAGCACGGAAAACTTTTCCTTTATGCACATGTGCCTCCAACATGAGTGTCCATCTCAGCATGCTGCCCATTGCAAATTTCTCCTCCCTGCTTCCCTCTCAAGCTGCTCAGAGCCAAGCAGGCACTCTCTCCAACGCAGATCTGGCCTGAGAGTAGGCCATGCTGCAAATGGCGACTTGGAGAAGGCCCCTCACGAAGCGCTGTAGGCTGCAGTGTGTTAGTGACTGAGAACAGGACATGCTGCTCCTTTCCTGCCATATGCCAGCCTCTGCCGGAGAGCCATCTGCGGCCTGCTCCCAGCTCCTGCTGCCTCAGCCTCTCCGAGCATAAAGACAGCCTCAGAGTGATGACTACAGAGAAAATAATGTTATAATAACCAAAAGGAACACTCAGAGCTCCTCCAGCACTGCACAGTCTGTTCAGGAAGGCTATAATGTTGTAGGAGAGCAGTGCTTGACCGATGGAAGCTGATTTGTGTTACTGAAAGAACATGTAATGTCGTATTGGATAATATCATCCCTTTCTCTGTGTCTGAGTAAATCTCTGAGCTTTTGATTTTCCTTAGCTTATCCGGCTGTGACACTTCCTGCGCAATGGCACAGGATAAGCTCCTTCACCTCTGCGCTGCTTGGGAGATGATTTTTTTTTTCCTTTATCAGGGCACACTCTAGAAAGGCATTGGATGCTGGGCTAAATCTACCCTCCTAAGATTTTACTTAGCAAAAGGGAAAAAAAAAACCAACAAAAAAAAACACATGTAAAAGCTTTTGTAAAGCTTCTCAGAAGATAGTGGGCAAGACATTGCAGAGCTGTGTTCCTTGGCCTTATCTCCTGGGTGTCACAGGCTGCAGTGTCCCAGCAAACTGCAGCAGCAGCGGGAGCAGTTGTCCTCAACCTGCAAAAGTAATGCCACCATAAATGTAAAACAACATAAGAAATGCCAGAATTGTGCACTGAAATTGTGATTGTGACAGTGCTGCGGAGCCTGAGTTGGGCTTGCTTTATGATGAGATAAGGGAGACAGTCCCACTGGAAACCCACTTAAATAGGGTGCTTGGGTGAAGGGAGGAGCACAACTGCATTGGAGTAGGTACAAGCTGCCAAGGTGGTAAGTCAGTGTGGATCCTGAGCAGGATGAGCTGTGGGAATTACAGTGGGTGGGAACTGGTTTTGTCCAGCCTCACTTGAAAGTACTGCTTTCACAGCTTCTCAAGGGATTGTAGTTGCAGGCAGTAAGGGGAGCATGGCATGTCTGCCACCATGGGAGAGAGAACCAGCAGGACTGTGCTGAGGGCAAATCCTGGGGAAGGGCCGTGAATTAGCCAAGTACCTTATTTTCAAAACCTGGTGCGGGTGAGATGTCTGTCAGGCCCTCGGCAGTCTCTTAGATCAGGGTTTGTACCAGGTGCTTGAAGAGCTCCTAAAAGCTCACCTTGGGCAGAGGACATGGCTCTTCCCTTTCCCAGCATGTGGCATGTCCATCTGCATCCTCACATATTAGAGCAATGCCTTGGTGACAGAGCTCAGCATAGCCTTCCTTCCTCCACCAGGCTGATCTTGCAGCTATTTCCTATGTATGCCAGCTGTGCTTCTGGAGGACGGAGGAACTCCTAGTGCACAGCTTGGGTAGGAATATGCATGCTGCCTTTTTAGGGGCAGCTGTGAGGAGGGTGGCATATGTCTCTCATTCTTTTCCTGCTGCCCCTGGCAGGAGGAGCACTGTTGCATTACGCCACTGTTTAGGAAATAATAATAATTAAAAGCTTTCTGATGAACATGGTTAATTTCCTATTCTAAAAAGCTGCTAAGGCAGCGCCTTTTGTGCATTAGCATATTTGCAAGGTTAATGTAGTGTACTTAATAAGATAAATAATGCTTGTCATGATATTTCAGGCCAATTTTAAGGGGTGGGAATAAAAAATATTTTGCTTAACATCTTAAGTTTTTGCCTGGACAACTTTAAGTTAACTAGTGAGCTGCCACTGAGTGCTGAGGTATGTTGTCCACTTCTCCCCTTGGCAGGTGTTCATAAGTACTTGCAGCAGGTGAAAGGAGACTGCTGAAGCACAGATGAGCTTCAAGTGGGCTCTCAGTAACTGCTATGTTAGGCATCACTCTGGGAATGTGGGTGGGAAGGGCATTGGGAAGGCAGCAAAAGCCTTAACAGGCTGAAGGAAAAGGGTGTGGGATTGGGAACATCTGTGACTGAGCAGGAGGAGGCAGCGGTACCAACAGAGAATCTGAGGCTGCAAGAATGGTGAGCAGTAATCAGCTACAGAGTGATGTGGTGGGACTACAAGGCTGGAAGAGGTAGTGGAGGATTTCTCAACAACTCAGAATTCTTTTTTTTTTTAATGTCTTTCTTGAACCCTTCACATCATGTTTTATTTTCCTCTAAATGTCCAGAACCGGGGAAGCATTTGAAAAATCCCCATGTAAGACACTGTGGGCCAAGGGAGACAATCATAAACCTTCTTACCTAGCTGCCAGTGCTGGGGAAGTCTCAGGTAATTATTAGCAGAGAGCCCTTGTGTTCCTAATGGCTTCTCTTGCCTCCTCTTCTGCAGAATGATTGCTTTCTTAGGCTTTTTAATAATATACAGTAAGAGCAGCAGCATCTTTAGACAAATGAGGCCACAGTGGGTAGGGAAGAAAGATGAGAGAACTTCCCAGGCAAATGATCTGGGGCACCTGGCTTGCTACTCCCACATGCCCTTCCCTTCTCTCCCATCCTCCCCCTGACCAGTCAAATAGACCAACCAGCTCATTATTTTCTCATAATGATGAGGAGAGGGAAGCAGAAGCAAGCCAGCAAGACTGTGGGTATTTGTTATATAAGAATTTTACAAATGAATATGCCACCCAGATATATGCCACAGTGAGAGGATGGAGGGATGGACAGGTATTTACCCATCACGCAAGACTGGACCAGTATGATGGGGGAAGAGAGAGACAGGAGGGGCAGCTGCAAGATGAGTGCAGAGGGGGTGGAAGAAATAAAATAAAGAAGCTATAATGCACAGTGGAGAAAGAAAGATACAATAAAAAGGTGGAACGAGAAGAGAGATACAGGCAAGGAATAAGGAGGGTGAGTAAATAGATACAGCTCAAAGACAGGTGGATGAGTCTGGCAGAGGGAGGACGGAATAATATGTTGTTGTAGGCGTCTGAGGGGGGAGGTAGCAAAGGGGTGGAGGGCCAGCTACAGTGGGTAGATTGATTTTGATGTTAGCTATATTGCAGGTCAAACACAGTCCTCACATCACATCGACTCCACATCTGTTTCTTCTTTTACCTGCCTGTCAGCCCCCTGCTGTGTCCTAGATTTTTCAGCTGGAACCCCTCTCAGGCTTGGCACTGCCTGCCTGTCAACGATGGGGTGGGGGGAGCCCAGGGCATCAGGTGAGATGTGTACCACCCCCTGTGCCCACTGCACCAATCTCAGGGCAGGCTTGCG